GGTCTTTTTATGAGCAATTGTGGATTTTGAGAGCTAAAGTGTTTTGAGTTGGTTTTTGGCTACTTCCCTTCATGCGGAATGTTGGTTTAGTTTAGTTATTTTATTTATGTTGGGTTGATTTTTGCTTATATTTGGAACAAGTATATTGCTTTATGTTGGATTAATTTCTATGTATATTTGGAACAACTTATGTTTGGAACATGTTGCTTTATGTTGAATTAATCTCTATTTGGAACAATTTTGTTGATTTAATTATTTGTATTAAATTAATTTTTATTTATGCTTGATGTAAAAAATATATACTTTGTTATTAATTAGTGGGGAACGGGGACGGGGGGCAAAATCTGCCCCCCGTAAAAAATCTCCGCGGGGATCCCCGTCCCCACCATTCGCGTGAACGGAGACGGGAAGGCACTCCCCGACCCCGCGGGACCCCGTTGACATTCCTAAAAGAGAGATATGAATAAGGAAAAGAGCATAGTTGGGTTCTAGGAATTTTAGGGCTAGATAAGGATTTTGAAAATTATGTTTGCTATTTTCATTTTGAAAAAGATTGCTTTTTTGATTAGTTTTTTAAGAATTATCACAGAGGAAAAACTAAAGAACTTAAGTAAACCTATTTTTTTTGGTTCAAATAAAATCCTTGGGATTAGACTTGAGCACTTGATTTATGTAATAACTTTATAAAATTTCATGTCTAATATTTTTTTATTTACTAAATTTAAATATTAATTTATTTACTAAATTTATCCTAAAAATACTTACTACATATTAATTTTTATTCAAAAGGTTAGCCACGTCATTGACTGTCCGTCCAAAGCAATGAAGGAAGATTCCAGGACGCTGGCATGGCAACAGTACTGGGACATGGAAATATTCAGCTGTCCGAGGGCATTTATCATTTCACACCCGAATACCCATTTATGATTCCACTTCCACACCCCGCATTTATCATTTCACAACCGAATACCCATTTATGATTCCACTTCCACACCCCGCATTTATCATTTCACAACCGAATACCCATTTATGATTCCACTTCCACACCCCGAACCTGGGGTCAGCTGAATATTTCCATGGCATCAGTATCAGAATCAGTCAAAATAGCCTATAAAAACACCGTGCGGCAGCAGTGCGGCTTCACTAACTCTTTTTTTCAATCGCCTCTCTTCCTCTGATATGCTTTCAAAAAGTTTGAAAATTAGCTTTTGCTCCGCTTGAATTTCCTTTCCAATTCAAGGCCAAGAGAGTTCTTTTTTTTTTTTTTTCCCTTTTCCTCTGAGGTCAAGAGATAGTTTACAAGCTAAGGAAAATGCCTCCTGCGGTTTCCAGTGTCCAAAGGTATTTTTTTCTCAATTTTTTAAACAAAGCTATTGTACTTTAATTATGGAAAATTTGGCAAAAACTCGTTTTCCGAATGCTCTCAGTAATTCAAAATTAATATAATTGTATTTAATTAGATTAAATTTAAATAATTTTAAAAAAATTTAATTAAAAAACTCAATAATAAATAAATAATTTATTAAATTATGCAAAAAGTAATAATAACTTTCTAATCTCTTTTTGTTTTTTTTAGGGAACTTTCTAATCTTTTTATCTTTTCTTCAATTGCAAGTTGGATCCGACCATTCGTCGGGTTTTTAAACATCCTCGTCTCTGTGTTCGGTTCCTTCCTGCAACTAAGATTTCAATCAGCGGAGGCCTCCCCTTTCGACACGCACAGGCTTCAC